AAGATTAATGCAACACACTACACCCATTCAAATGTACATATATCATAAATTCAATCCTCAACCCCTCAATTCACAAAAACACAAGGGGGAGGTAAATTTGCATAAATCATCAACATTCATCCCAAAATAGCCAAAATCCATAATGGTCTAACATACTCCAGATATCACACATATTATGGTCACAACCGATGTTGAAAGTCATACATTCAACATCAAGTTTACCTTTAATTGATGTTGAATGTGATACTTTCTATAATGGGTATACCCCCACCCACTATAGAAAGTTATATATATTTTTTTAATTCAATAGGCAACTTTCAATATCAGTTTTAAATCTAATGTTGAAAGTTTTTTGCAACATTGATTGTAAAACGAGTGTTAAAAGTCCATAACTTTTAACATCCCCCATAACAATACTAATTTCTTAACCAGTGTAAATTGATTTTCTTAAACTGTTATTAAAAGCTAATTCCATAATAGTGTAAAAACAACTTATAATAGACAATAGTCAAAGTAATGATTATTTATTTTTGTCAATGGGATTACTTTCTTTTTTGTTGAAACCATGGGGGATGTGGGCATGGGGTTCATTTTATACTTTAATGACATACATTCTCTCACTCACATTTAAGGGTTAAGTTATAAATCTATTCATAAAACATTTTGTAAGGAACTGCTGGCATCTTTAACTCAAGTATGATGTAATTTTATCCATGAACTATAAAAATCAATACAAAATTTTACAATCCATAACAAAAGCCAAATGTCTCTTAAATAAGGATTGTCAATCTCACTTATTATGTCACGTTTGAATGGATTAGGGGCAAAAATATTCATAAAAGTAATTTGCTATTGTAAAATTTTGCCCATCCTTTTTAAAAATTATGCAAAAATCTTCAACATGTTAAAAAAGTACATGTTAGCAAATGTTGGTAGTAAATAGTAGAAACATTGATTTTTTTTTTCACTCAAAGTGTAGACATGAAAATACATATGTTCAAATTTATTTTAATTTTCAGAAATTAACTCTAGGATAATTTTTTATTTTTTCACTTACCATAGCCAAATAAATACTTTGATTGGAAACTCATTTGGAGGCTGCCCCAACACCTTCCTCTCTCTTCTCTTACCTACCTAAGTTAGTTCAAATCCCTATCCCTCAATTATTGGTTGTGAAGTGTGACAATATAAAATATTGTACTTAAAGTTTGTGATAGTTAAAAAAAATTTGAACACATGTATTTTCTCATTTATACTTTAGGTCAACTAAAATTTCAGTTATTTTGATATTCACAGTCAACGTTTGCCAACTTATGTCTTGGTTTTAGATTGAAGATTATTGCACCCTTTTTTAGGTTTTATGGGCAAAATTGCACCATAGTATAATATATGATGGATATGCTTGTCCCTAACCCACTTACAAGTGTCATAGTAAGTGTGATCTATAATCCTTATTTAATGAATGTTTGGTCTCTGTTATGGATTGTGGAATATTTTTGCACCATTTATATGGTTCATGGGTAAAATTGCACCATATTTAAATTAGATATACCAATAGCTTCTTAAAGAATTCTTTATGAATAGATTTGCAGCTTAATCCAATATTTGATGGAATGAAACAAGAAACATGTGTGATAGAAATTTAATAACATAATTTATAAATAAAATAATATAAAAATTTTTCTCCCCCAGCTTTATAGATAGGATCCCCAAGAATACAAATTAATGAATGACATAATATCAAAATAATTTTTATACATTTTAGTATAAAGGAAAATCATTGTTTTTAAGTGAAATATATATTCTCTCCATTCAAAAATAAAGCATTTTTAATCGAATCTCACTCTTTAATAAAATGATTACTTACTTTCAAACTAACACTATCTTTTTATATTTATCCTTATTAAATACCTTATAATAAATATAAAAGTCACTATCAATAGGAACACTTGAAAAAAAAAGACAATGATTACACCTCGAAAGATTAAAAATGCCTTATATTTTTAAACATCTAACTTCTCAAAAAATTCTTTATATTTTTGAACAGAAGGAGTATAAGATATCAAATTATAAATAAAATTGATACTAAAATGAATACCATGATTAAGAATTATAAGAAAAATTAATTATATATATTTTAATTAATTTTTTTGCCAAAAATGAATATTATACCCACTCTGTTTTCAAATATAAGTAAATTTTAAACAACTCACACAATTTTAAAAATTTAGTTAATCTTAAAGTTATGTCTGAAATTGAAATACATAGACTAAAATATTTTTATAATTAATGTTTATTTTTCTCTAGTTTAATGATACTATCGAAGTATCTATTTATAAAGAAAAATTAAAAAAATGTAATAAACGTTTCTTACAAGTAATAGACGTCCAAGGGAGAGAGCATTTGAAAAGTAAAAAATGTTTGAGTCGCATCAATTTAATGTAACAATTATTTTCCTTCCTGCTGGTTGAAGATAACATTTAAAAAGTAATAGTAAAAAAAAAATTACTTACTCTGGTTAGTAGATAGTAGAATCACTTTCTTTATTTGTTTTTTTTAATATTTTGTAAATATATTTCTTTTTTCAAAAGAAAAAAAAACAATTTTTGTGAAAACCAAGGAGAGATGTGGACATGTGGTTCAATTATAGGGGTGATGGGGAATGACTCGGCGATATAGATTTATTATTTTTATTTTATATTTATTAAAATAAAAAATTTATAAAAATTATTAAAAATTTTCATAAATTTGCTTATCAATTTGGAAAATCCATGTTTAATATAAATAGTCTAAATTAAATATTAAAAAAATTTAATAAGTTGATTGTACTGTTTAAAAATATCTACATTGTTTAAAAAATATTTAAATTTTTAATATTAAATTTGAATAATTCACATTAAATTTAAACTGTGTTGGTTGGCGAGTAAATTTATTAATTTTTTTTATAATTTTTATATATTTTTATTTTAATAAATATAAAATAAAAATAAAACATGAAAAAACATTAAATTTGAAACAATTGAAAATTTAATAGAAAGTCAGAGGAGGGTAGGAGGAGGGAAGGCAAGTGGCAAGGGAAATCTATGAACGCATCCTAAACGTTTGTTGATAACACGTGGCGTGTGCACGTGGACCGCGCAGAGCCGTCGAAGACCAATGATTGTGACTAGGGAAATGGAGGACAAAGAACGACAAAAAAAAATGGTGAGATTCATCGTCTCAGTCCCCATAAGTCAACTTCATTTAACATGATGACTTTAGGTAATACAGGTGAAATTTTAATTCAACGACACTGTACCTTTTAAACTTATCTATTACACAAATTATTTTTTTTATTTTTTTAAAAAATAATTTAATTTTTATTATTAAAAAATTAATTTTAATAATTAATTGACTCAAACATGATAAAAAATAACCTCAAAAAATATAAAAAAGGATAAAAAAATTCTGAATCCTTTTCTATAATTTTTTGACTCTTTATATATAATTTTTAGATCATTTATTATAAATTTTTAGATTCTGTATGTAATTTTTGAAATTATTTTTTATTATTTAATGGTTAACTAATAGTCAAAATTACACTACTTTTAAAGGTTGAAGAAATAATTTACATAATAAATAAATTTAAAGTTTATAGTATTACTAAATTTAAAGTTCATGATCCTTTTAATTAATTCTACGTCTTAAAGTGATTTTATTTCTTGAAAAAATTATTAAATATTATTATTTAATGATTTTTCTATTTTGTTCTTAGACGCATTATAGTAACATTTTAATTTAATGAGATATATTGTACATAAATGAAGGGAAAATTTGATAAAAATATATCATAGTTTTTACATATAAATTGCATTTATTAATTTGTGTGTAATAATCTTGAAGAATAAATATTTTCAAATGGGGGGAGCATTTAACCCGCTAGTTTATCATTTAATACATTTTTTAAAATATCATGAATGAAATAATTGGTATTCAATCATATAGTAGCAAGACTTGCTGCTTTTTATTTTTTTTAAAGAGTTAAAGGCCATTTTTATTCATAAATCATTGTGTGAATAGCATTGATTTTCCTAAACCGTAATTTTTACTTTCAATTGTCAAAATTGATTATCCTTGCTAAGCATAGAATTGAATAACTTTTTTCCCTAATAAATACTTATATAACCTATGACAGTATAGATAGATAGAATATGTAACAGCATTGCTGATTAATGATCGGTATATACTCACAAACTACTTTTTATTGATAAATACCTAATTGACAAGCCATGCTACCCTTAACATGATGCGACATGTTTCGATTGATGACATGTGTTCCATTGAAAAAAACATGGGTATAATTTTTTTGCTGCATATTATTGAACTTTACAATGCGTTTCCATTGAACAAAACATGGGTATAATTTTTTCCTCCATATTATTGAACTTTACTATGCGAGTTACTTTTTCATAATATACTTTTTCTTTTATGTCAAACTTGAGACCTCTAAATTAAATCCTCAAAGATTTATCATGAAGATTAAATTTGTTGGTTTTCATAATATACTTTAAATATGAAAAAAATGTTTTTTAATTCAAAGTTAATATAAGATTAATTGTCAACATCAATGTTCATTAGTTTAAAAGTGGGTGACCATGCCAGGTTTTTGGCACTTCAAGAATGGCATTGCTATGAATTGTTTAGAATAGCTCCTCATGAAACAATTTAAGGATGTGGGTTAACATTATGCTGTCGAGCTTATTCACCTTTTTTTAATTTTAAATTTTTTATATTTTAAATTGAATTGCAAACTTTTAGAAATCAAATTCAACGATGTTATACATTTTCATTAAGTTACATGATTAAATTCATTGCTTGAAAGAGAAACAAAGAAGCTAGAAGGATTCAGAGAATCTGAAGTGAGGTAAGAAAGTAAAACTATGATAATGACATTGATGAGCTACCCTATCCTACGCATTGGCTTTATTATAAAATTTGAAAGCGACGATTTGGTACAATCATAGAGACATTAGTCGTGACTGGTAAGCTTCCTCTTTGACACAAAATTCTCAACCAAGCAAGCCAATCACACCAAAAATGGCTTCCTGGAATTCAATCCCACTTCACGTCTTATACGAAGTTCTTGGCTGGTTTGCTTTTGTTTGCTGGTCTATCAGTTTCTACCCACAAGTCATCTTGAATTTTCGCAGGAAAAGGTTCTACAATATATATATATCAACTTCCTCTTTTATCATGTTCATCTTTTACTCCTTTAATTTACTTCCTTATATATATATGTCGATCTAATTTGCCTCAAAACTTCTTTTTAATTTGGATTTCAGTGTGGTGGGACTGAACTTTGATTTCGTGGTGTTGAATCTCACCAAGCACTCGGCTTATCTGTTGTATAATGCATCTTTATACTTCAGCTCTACTATTCAGAAGCAGTACAAAGAAAAATATGGCCAGCACGAGGTAATTAGATCCCTTTTGTGTAATCCCCTTAATTAATATGCTTAATCAAAGCTTAACTCTTTCATATGCTTTACAACAATTTTTCATTTTCATCTATATGCTTCAGATGATTCCTGTTGCAGCAAATGATGTTGCCTTCTCATTGCATGCTGTTCTCATCACAGCTTTTACTTTGTTCCAGATTGTTATCTATGATGTAAGCACCATATTAATTACTCTCTTTTTCGCATTGGAGTGTAATTTTTATTTTGAAAAAAGCATAAGTAGGTCATTGTATTGTCTCTTTTTTTGGTACAGAAAAGGTAGGTCGGGTCCCTGGAATTACCAGAACCAGGCAATAGGTTCTTATATTTTGATTATGTTTTGGTTTTTGTCTCTGTAGTTTTTATTTTGATGTTGTTAACCCCTTTAGCTTAATCAGTCCAAAAAGCTAGTCTTTAGAGTTTTAAAAGGAGTTAAATGGCAAGATGAACCTTAAACTATAAGTTCATAAGTGATTTGAACCCTAACCTCATATTTAATATATTTTGAAGCCTAAATAATTAAATATGAGATAATCTAAATTAATTTCAAGCAAACAACCATTAGGTGTGGACCAGCAATTCTCCCTCTCCCTCTGCCTCTCTCCTCCCTCTCTCACTCCATCTCTCTCCTCTAGCTCTACTACTTCCATAACCAACGTTTGCATAAAATCAACAGTAAGGTTTGATTATCCATGTTTAATTTTGAGGATCAAAATATATCAAATATAAATTTAATGTTTAAATCACTCTAAGCCTATAGTTTAAGATTCATGTTGCTATTTAACCCATTTTAAAAATACATATAAATACCATAAGTTAGCACTGATGGCACTTAATTTCACTTTAACTCTTTCAACCTTTTTGCTGACATGGCAAGAATAAAAATATTCTAACATGAAAATAAATTAACAAAACATGATTAAATATAAAAGGTATGGGATAAAAAACTTTTTTTCTTTTTATTAGAGTTAAACAGAATATGGGGAACCAAGGTGAGACATATAGTACACTTTATCAAAGGTGTTAAAAATAAAGTTAAGTACACATCACCAAATAAACTAACAAAGGTTATCAGAGTTATACTGAAATTAATTTCATCAATGTCAGCTCATGATCTTTGCATGTATTTTAAAATTAATAGGAACTAACTTTGTAGACAAATCAAACTAAGGGGACTAAGAACTATAAAATACTCCTTTCATTTTTTAGTATGTGACACTTTCAATCGTTTTGTATATATTAAGATATAGTTTTTTTTATATCATAAAAAATGAAATGCGCTTTTATTTTTATTCTTGATTTTAAATAATAATGCAATTACATTAAATACATTCATGTTAATAAAAAAAAGTAAAATTTAAAAAAATAATTTAATTATTATAAGGTGTTATGCATTTTAGACTAAAAATTATTTTTAAAATGTGTCCTGCATATAGAGAGAATAAAACCATTAGGAGTAAAATTAAAACGGAATCAAAGTGTAGGCACCTCCCATTGTATTATTCCCTTTCATTTTAGTTATTTTCTTTGTTATTGTTGAAATTTCTTATGGTCATTATCATTGCAGCGTGGAAATCAGAAAGTGTCGAAAATTGCTTGTGGAATTGTGACGGTTGCTTGGTCTATTGCTGCAATATGCTTCTTCATTGCTCTGCCTAAACATCATTGGCTTTGGCTTCTCTCAATATTCAGGCATGTTACGTTATACAATTTCTTAACTAACTAATTTTCATTTTTCATTTGCGACTTGTGAGGATCCATAAATTAAATGAATGGCATGATGCATGAAATGTTTATTTGTGAATGATTTTCCTTCTAACGAATTATATATGTTGAAATTAACCATTTTGCAGTGGTATTCAAGTTTGCATGACGATTATAAAATATATTCCCCAGGTCAGGATGTTATCTCCATTTTATGTCAAACTTTTTCCTTTTGGAATTTGTTTCACGAGGAACTAATGTATTTTTAACAAAAGCTAATAAATCAAACTTTTTAATTTATTCAAATAAATAACTTGTTAAAGAAATTTAAAAAAAATTGGCTTCTCTGTGTCGGAAAATTGTTGTTCATTTGTTTAGCTGGCATATAAATATTAATCATATATTCCCTACTGTTATAATTAAAGGGAAAATTTTAAAACTCTAGTTTTAAATAAAAAAGATGTCTTCATTTGGATTTGGATCCTCTCCATACTCTCTCTCTCTCTCTCAATACATCTTTCCTTATTCAATCTTATCCATTCATTTAATTGTTGTTTTGGTTTAATGGGATGAGATTGATACTTATGGAATTAAAATAAATAGGTTATCATCATTTAAATGCTCTTGAAAATAAGATAACAATGCTTATTAAGTAGCAACTCGTATTGAGAGAGAGAATGGATGGATGAGATTGAGTAAGGAGAGAGGCATTGAGAGAGAGAAAATGGAGAGGATCCAAATCTATATTCTCTGTTCAATATAATATTATAATATATTTTTAATCAAATCACATCTCTTATTGAGCTTGTTAATTGTCTTTAAAATTACATACTTTTTTCTTGCTTACACTTATTTAATAGTTGTTTTAATTAGAAAATCTTATTAATTACACCCATAACTAAGGGTACTTTTGGCAAAACCTCACTTAAAAGACCCAAAATATATGCCTTATATTTATGAACATCTTATCTTGAAAAAAATGCTTTAAATTTTTGGACCAGAAGGAAGTTGTAGTTAATTTTTTTTTTTCCAATATTGCCTCTCCTTAATTGCACAAAGTTGTTGGCAATCTTTTAATTCCTAGACATATTTTATTATGGTCATTAATTTTAGTAAAGCAAAAAATTGAAAAGTTAAACATCTTTTACAAATTTAAAGAGAATAACTACCATTCCTTAATAATTGTGAACTTAGTTAATTTTACCTTATAATTTAATTTGCTGGCTATTTGGCTATGACGAATGTGCCCACTAATTAGTGAACAAGATGATTTATTAAGTAGTGCAGGCTGTGATGAACTTTATGAGAAAATGCACTGAAGGATGGAGCATTGGTAATATTTTGCTGGATTTTTCTGGAGGCGTAGGAAATTATGGTCAAATGTTTGTACAATCCATAGATCAAGGTTTGACTTGGCATCAGCGTCAGCAATTATATATAAAACATGAACCTTGCGAGTTAATTAATAATCTCATACTGACAAAAAACTTCAAATTTCATCAGGTTCTTGGGCCAACTTCTCTGGAAACATAGGAAAACTAATGATATCTCTGGTACGGATCAGTATTCTCTTACTCTAACACACACACACACACACACATGGAATGACAATGTTGGTTATATATATATATATATATATATGTATATGTAACTTGAAAATTAATTAATGTCAGGTTTCTGTATCGTTTGACATCCTGTTCATGATCCAACATTATTTGTTATATCGGCACAAAAAAGGCTCAAATTCAAATGCTCCTCCCGAAGTTGAGATCAGCAGCAAGCAGTCTTCTGATAAACTAGTGGCAGAAAATGTGTAGGATTTAGTACAAGTTTAGCATTGGGAAAAGTAGTTAGTGATCCATCTTTGATTGAAATAATTCTCTCGAAATGGTGAGCAAATATATATATATATATATATATATATCCAAGACGAATTTAATGTTTATAATGGTCTTTATGTTGTAACTAAGCTAGGGGTTGCAGCGTTTAACCTATCTGCTTGTGAGTGCTTTGTGAATGTAGCTACAATCGGTTGAATAAAATAAAGGGTGAAGGTGTGTGAATTATTCTCAAATGAGCACCCAGTGTCATGCCAGTGCTCCACTTATGGGCTACTCAACCATATATGTAGCTGATTGTTACCTTCTTCTTTGTCTTCTAATGCTTACCCGTTTCATTTTCTTCATTTAAGACGGAATAAATTGATATTGTTGGATAGGGTTGATTAGTTCAGAATTTGATGTCAAAGAAGAAGCTTACCAATCCCCCAACAAGGTCACTGTAATTATACAATCAAATTGTCATTTCCCACAAGTTTGACAAAGCCAAAGGAGAGGATAGGCTAGCGTCAATGTTCAGGATAATAATAATTATTACCCCTCATATTCTGTGAATCGATTTATTGATCTAGTCGTTTTCTTGCAAGAAAAGATTGATGGCGTTGAAGAAAGTGACTTTAGTGACAGACCAGAGAGTGAAAGGAGGAGTGGGGAAACTGTAGTAAAGGACTTGTGTTTTTTTTTTTTTTTTTTTTAAGTAGAGGGCTAAAACTAAATGGTGGCTCGTGTCTTGAGTGATGACATTACTCTCCATTATCCAGACTCGTACGTATCACGTGTTCGCCCACATATCCACATTTGTGGCCCAGCTACCCACCTCCTAAAACTTTTCCTAGGGTTTGTGAGTGCCTTTAGCTCAATTTTGAATCATTTTTATTCTTCAATTGTTGAAATCTAACACGTCGTTTGTTGACTGTTATTTGTTTAGATGAACGCATTTTGTTAACTTTTTTTTTTTAGGCTCATGGTATCCTATTGGATGCTTTTTCATGTCATACCTGATTAGGTTTTTTAAATGTTTAAGGGAGAAAATGACTCAAAAAAATTGAGTTTAGGACATCAGGTATTCATAAGTGAATACTTCTAAGATCCTATTAAATTATAACTAGGCATTCACTTGGATGTTACATAACTTCAAAAAATTCAACAAAATGAGTTTAGCTAAATAGATAATCATTCATAAGTTGCGCGTGAGCAACAGAATAATAAGGCATTAAATTTTAAGAATGTAAGAATAAAATAATTTAAAATTAAATTTAAAATACTCGCAGACTTTACGTATAAAATTTAAAAAAAAAAAGGATAATTAATTTTTTTTTTAACCTCTATGTCCACATTGATGCCTTTTTTACCATCATATCCACATTTGAGTCATTGATGCTTGACAGCATATTGCGGGTGCACACGTGAGTGGTCTCCCTTCCTTTATGATGATTCAATGGAAGAGTCAGGCCACCCTCCTGCCACTTCTTGTTTCCGTCCGGCGTGCTTCTTCTCCATTTCCCCATTTTAATTATTAGATCTAATTGGAATGATTTTCTTTATATTCTTATATAAATCTAGTACATTTATGTTATTTGTATATTATTCAATAAAATACTGACATGTCAAATAAATGTAAATATAAATTGATTATAAAAAGAGAGAACGTAAGAAATTAAAGGGACACTCTCTTTAAAAAATAAAAGCATTAAAAATAAAGTTAAAGAATACTTTTGATCTTCTAACTTTATATTAAATTTTAATTTAATCCTTTAATTTTGTAAGATGTCTTTTTAATCCTTTAACCCATCATCATTTTTTCAAATAATTATTTTTTATGTCAACAATTGTTATTTTTAAAAAAATTAAATTTAATATGTTAACATATAAGAATGTTTTATCAATATTTAAAAGTTCAATATAATAATTTGTTAAAATAAAACTAATTATATTAGGATTAAAAAAATGACACTTTATAAAGTTAAGAGACTAAAATAAAATATAATGTAAAGTTAAAGGATTAAATATATACTTTAATTGTAAAAAGAATAACATATAATATTTTATTAGGTTAACATTCATTTTGCCCTTCAAATTTATTCAAAAAGTCATTGGAGACCATAAACTTAATAATAGATTAATTATGTCCTTAACTTTAAAATTTCCTCCTGTATCACCTATTGTTTCCTCACTATTAGTTAACCTTTACCAGGCCCTACATTATATTTTTTTAATATTTTTTATTATAAAATATTTGAATTAATAATGCCTAGTGACGCTTCAAATAAAAGTTGAGAGACAAAAATGACCTCTAATTCGATAAAAATATTAAGGTGATGAAATGAGACCCACTAATAATTAACAGACGTTAAGTATTTTTAATATTAAGATGATGAAGAAGAAGGTAATTGTTAATGTTGAGGGACATAATTGACTTTTAATTGAGTTTAGAATCCTTAGTGACCTTTCAAGTAAAGTTGATAGATAAAAATGACCCTTAAACCTATTTTATTTAGCTGATTTAGTGTAATTGTATTATATAGAGTATAAATGAGGTAGTCAAATGCAAGAATTTCTCATCCAATGTTTTATAAAATTATTACTAAAATTTAAGATAGTAAGTAAATCTGATTTGTTAAAGTTTGATGATGGAACCCACGAAAGAAAGAAGAAGAATTACATGATTATTTGAAGATTTAAGAATATTTTGCTTTAATTCTTGTAATCTCTTCTTAATTTTCCAGAAATTATTATTGGAATATGTATCTGTACATGCACACTTCACAACACACACTATAGTATTTATTATACATATATCTTTTCATGATATATTTAAATAGAAATAAAACATGAATTTTATTATTTTATTAAAATTTAAAGGAGAAGATTTAGATATTTAACTTTATATATTTAAGGAAAAATTTTAAGTGGGGACCCTTGACCCAACATAATAAAAAAAGAACCCCAAAAATTTTAAAATTTCACTACAAGACCCCGTACGGAATTTTTTTATTTTTTGATGAAAATGATAAAATTGTCTTCATTTAAATTAACAATATAAATGACTTGTTTGTTCCCATACTATATGTTATTCATTTATTTATGAAATGCTATTCACTCCAATATAAAAGAGTAAGGTAGGAAAACAAACAACATCCTATAAGTAAATAAAAAATATATAGTATGGAAATGAACAAATTATCTTATCATAAAACTAATACTTGAAATGAAATCAAGTGAAACTAAGGTGATAAGAAAATTATGTTAGGTAATTAACAACATTTCGTATGTAAATGAACAACATACAATATGAGAACGAAAAAGTCATTTATGTTGTTTATTTAAATTAGAACAATTTTATCATTTTTATCACAAATCAAATTTCTATACCATATGGGTCCTCTAATAAAATTTCAAAAATTTTAGGGTTCTCTTTTTGAATATGTTTGGTTGAGGGTCCTGAAATTTTCCCTATAATTAACGCACATAAAAAATAACTTTTAATGCATTGATAACATTAATAAGTATATAGGTTTTTCTCATTATTAAAATATTTATAATTTTAATTAAGGTTAAATCTTTAGTAATGAAAAAAATAATACCTTAAATTTATATAATACATGCTATAATTATACATAATTTATTATATGATTATTTTTAAAATATTATTATAATAAATAATTAAAAAAGCCTAAATTAAAGTGCAAAAAAAAAAAGAAGAAGAAAAACATTGACGCACAAGAAATAAAATTTGGTTTGGTACTATTTTAAAAAGAAATAAAATTAAACTAAACCAATCGATTTGGTTATGACTAAGACCTGATCAGTTTGTGGAAAAATCAATTTGGTTTAGTTTTGATTTTGATTTGTTTTGGATTCGTTAAAGTCTAGATCAAGTTTCAATGCATTTATTTAATTTTTTTTTTCTTTTTTTATAACTTACATTGAGTATGAGTGTGTCATTTTTTTTCTTGTAGAGTGCGTTTATATAGCCAATTTTTTTTATTTTTTTCTAAACATTTTTAATAGCATGAAAACACTAACAACAAAAGGATCATATATATGCGTATTCAAATCATTAATTATTAAAAACTGATGAAATTGTAGGTATCTTTTGAATTTTATAATTTTAATTCACTGGCACTTGATCAAATATATATAATACTAATAACATAGTCACTCTAATTTGCAGAAAAATACTTATAACAATAACCTTTTATGGTCAAATATATATAATAGTATTTTTTCTAATTGTATACAATATTTAATTAATTATAGACAAGTATCCTTAAAAAATATCATAAAAAATTACAGACAATATTTAACTAATTGTATCATATTTTTAACTATCAATTTATAAATAACTAAATTTAGGAAAGGGAAAAAAAAGTAGTCAAATTTATTAAAATATATAAAAAAAATATAGTAAAGCTTGGTTCAGTTGTGTTTAAATTTTAAGAAACAAAAATTTAAACCAAATCAAATCAATTAATTTTGTTAAAAAAAATTAAATCAAACCTTATTTATAATTAATTTTAATCAGTTAATGTCGATTTAATTTGATGTTACTGATTTGGATCAATTTTAAGTATCTTTAATGGCTTTGTGTCAGTGACATTGTGCCATGACCAGGGATAGATAAAGGGAGGGCGACTTAATTTTAGTTCCCCTGCTTCATCCATATCAACATGGTGTCTTTAGGATTCGTGATTGTCCTCACGACCAACATACATGGTCCACATTATTTCAACAAAGGATTTATGTTTTTACAGAAAATAAATGCGATTCGACAGTCCACTATGGAATATTCAGGAACAAAATAAATAATCATATGTTTGCAATGTCTTGTCAAAAACCGATTCTAAAGAGCTTGTCTCGCCGAGGGAGAGAGCCTAGGAGTCGCGAGGGAAGCCTCTTCTGCTTCTCTGATGAGACATAAGCTAATATAGATTGTTCAGATTCGGTGTGATTTTTAATTTATCAAAAATTTATTTAATAAAAATTAATTTAATAAAAATCAAAACGAAATTTATGTTTAAATATATTTTTAAAAATTAATTTGTTACACTAAAAATCACTTGATTTATAATGGTGAAATGTGTTTTTAAATGTACAGTTATCAAAAAGAATATTAATTTATAATAGTTTACAATTTTTATTATACAAATATAACATATTTAAAATATTTAAAAAATGTGATAAAATTTTTAAATAACATAATTTTTGATCTATAATGTTAAAAATTTGATATCTA